GGTTTGCTTTAACTGCAAGTGATACTGTGTGGTTTCCATACTATCCAAACTAGCTTCACCATAGTTAAAGGTTTCTATCGATTTTCTGGTTCTGTTGTCTGTCTGATTGGCTCATGGTTATCCATAACCCAAAATTTTTCTCAACTCATGGCAAATCCCTAACTTCTTTGTTTTAATGAACAAAGCATGCTGAGTTATTTCTTTCATTGTTTAAATTTTTTCTTCAAGGCCTACATGATGATTTATTTTCCATAATATAGCCACACACTCAAACATTTTTGCAGAGTAACTGGAAACATTCATTCCTGCCTGTCATACATATGCTTGTTCTGCACCTTCTTCTGCTGCTACGTCACTACAAATAAAACTGTTGCACAAACCACTGGCATGAAGCAAAGACACACACGCACCCACAAATTTGGATGTTTCACACCAAAGATGCTACATTTTGTCAGCAAATAGTTTCAACAGAAAACACGAGGAGAAAAATTCAAGATTGAGGATATATCAAAACAGAATTCCCCTGCATCTATACAGAAATTTTGGAAGTTCCTGTATACTATCCATCATGCAGACTACAAATCGTTTGGGACCAGAAACTAAAATTTTAAAAAGTCTCACAAAGGTTAGATGTATTTGAACCACTTCACCCATCCTGAAAGTAAAAAGAGACAGACTCTACCCAAATCACCATTCTTCCTAGGGAAAACATTTGGTAAGCCCCTACTCACCGAAAGGGCAATACAAGAATGCCAATGTGCAAAGGAATAATGTTTTCTAGAACCCAGAAGCACTCACTCACTATTCATGCTTCCATTCACATAATATCAGAGGAAGAAAAAAACATGGCACTGAGGATTCACAGAACAAATTAAGATATTTTCAGAAAAATATTAACAAACTAGCAAATGTAATATCTTCCTAATATATTTCTTCTTCTTTTTTAACCTTTCTTTTTTCTTCCATCTTCTACACACACACACACACACACACACACACACACACACACACACACACACACTCACACCTCATTCTCACATAAAGTCTATAAACTAAATAAACTAGGATGCCAAGGAATGTGAATCTCACCTTCCAAGTTAAAATAGTTGAAAGGTACACAGCATCACTTATTCTTTTTTTAAAAAAAAAAGCCTTCTGCAAACAACAAAGACACCTTCTACTTTACCTCTTCATATTTGCATACAAAACCACAAAATTGCCATACCCGGCATGCCAAGCAACAGCAGAGGACAGGAAAATGTTCATATCCAGTTCAATAGAAGGCTGTCTATGCAGTACAAGAGGCTAAGTTCCAATTCTCTAGACCAGTGCTCCACTCCCTTTACCTAACCTGCCTAACTACATTCAAAATCATGTTCCCATGTTGATTGACCTAACAATGTTCAAAGGTAACTAGGTTTATGGATGAAAAGGTCACCCTCAGGGCTAAGGCTAATTAGTGGTAGAGCACCTGGCTAACATGCACATAGCTCTTGATTTGAGCCCCACCCCCCAATTCTTCAATCAGCACCAAGCCTAGATAGCTCAGCAGCAAATTGACATAAAACAGTAAGGCTTGCTTTGGAAGGAGAAGTACTAAGAAGCCTACAAAAGAACAGGTGGTCAAAAGCTATCTTCGTGTTGCTTGCTTGGCCATTGAATCCTTTCAGTAATCTTGGCTCCCCAGCTAAATTGTGAACACTCTGAGGGCAGACATGCCTTTCTTCTTACTTATTTGGATCTCCAAGCTACCTGCTACATAGCTAGGGTCACTGAGCATTACAAGAAAAAAAAAACTCTTAGTGATTTGATTTAATGCATTGGAGATCCATGTCAAAGTTCAGTGGAGTGGAAGCAGCAAGGAGCAAGCACGGTAGTTCTGAGTCTACTCACTTGTCTAATTACTATTTCAAATAAGCCCTATAACCATACAAATAATAAAGGAAGTGTATGTCAAAATGATAACACAGCATACGAATCTAATACACAGTGGCCATTGGTCCCAATCTGAAGAGTAAGAATGTCACATATGCTTAGGAAAGGGACATCATCCAGAATTTGAACTGTATTATTAATTTCTGTTTCTCTTAAGCTATCTAATGTCAAAGATCAAATTTTTATCTTTGCATCACTAGCAAAGAGCAGATACATTATTTGGCACAGTCTAACCATGCAATAAATACTAGTTACTTGAGTTAAGGAACAAACAAAAAATGGTCTCATAAAATAACATAAAGAATACTTTTTAATGTCATGACTTGAAAATCATCTACTTACTACATCATAGCACATATCATTCAGTACTATAATTGCTTCATAAATGAATTGTTTCTTGGATGGATTAATTAATTAATAAGCAAAGTATAAAGGTAGGACATACATCAGAAGATTATTGTTTTAGAAATCCCACTGCACAATATAGTAACATTTAACATCCCATATTGCAAACTACCTGTTTACATGCTTGTCTTGTTAGAATGTGCATTCATTGCATTCATTGTTGTTTTTGTTTTATTTTGTCTCTGGAACTACAGACCTTACAGCAGTACCTTAAAAGGAACACACACACACACACACACACACACACACACACACACACCAATTACCAGTTGAACAAATGCATCAATCATTCCCGTTCTTCCTGTCAATGTTCAACAGCCTCTAGTTGAAAGAAAAGAAGTGTCGTTTTCCCTATTCAAAACTTCATGATAGATACATGTTAAATATCTTGGTGAATGCTTGGCTATGAACTCTCCAGAACTATGTACTGGAAATACACATATAACCTCGACCTAACACTACACACCAGATATGTGCAATTTTGTTGGAAAAAGGGGATATCTGGCTTTGAAGGTCGGGGAAAGCATCAGAACTGAGAATCTAGCTTTCTGAAATGCTTTGTTTTATCCTGCCCTTAGAAGAAACTGTAAAAGGACACCAAGATGAAGGTGAACCAAGAAATTATAGTGACTATCTCCTGCTTCCTCTACATATTCAATAGATATCATGATATCTTAGGAACTTGAATTGATTGTAAAATGATCACTAAATTTTCAAGATTCAATGCTTTTTTGTCCCTTTCCCGAAGCAATAGCAAACCAGCAGTGGAATACACAACAGTAGCACTTCTCATCTTCATTGTTCAATGATCACTATGAATCAATGGTCTGGCTAAACCACCTTGTATGTATTATCTACAGAGAGCCAGCCTAAATTCCTATTTGGATATAAGAACCTGGAGAGACATACTCATGTGAGTAGCCCATTGCCAATGGCGATTCTCCAATTTTCAAGTAAAAAAATAAATTCCACCTTTTTAGACACACCTATGAATTATATACACTCTTTAGAATTCAGAATGTTTTATTTTTCCTTGGAAAAACTTTCAATAATAAATGTGCCCACTTTTGTAGATGAGGAAACAGACTCAGAGAGGTTCCATAGAAGAAGACGACTCCTAGATAGATTCAAAATCATGGTCTATTTGATTCCACTACAAACCCTTACCTCTCGATCTCTGTGGCTGAACTGTTAGTGGTTCACAGTATCTCTCCAAGTAGTTAATGGTTGAGGCTCTAGTAGTATTAAGTATCAATAATACTTAGAAGTAAGTTTACACAACATAATACTAGACTTTCAATAACTCTTTATGGAGTTAGATACTTAGAATGCTGGTGCTTTTGTTGACAGCAGAATGTTATGAGTTGCTCATTAAAAATACTGCTTTTCCGTGCTATTAATTCTGGTAGGAATTATTTTCCAGGAAGTAAGAGACACAATGCAACAATGTAAATGCTCCTACATGCCCTTTGCCATACAAAACTGATACAAAAAATGTCCATTTTATGTTCACATGATTGCCTAGGTATGTCAGTGTGAATTGTTACTAAACGCAGGAAGTACCACTCAAACACTAAGAAGTACAGGGCCAGGTGATCTACTCCTCCCTTTGTGTTACCTCTCTGAGTCTGAACAAGTTCCTCAGCATCTCTCAACCTTTGTTTCATCTTCCACCAAAGAGAAATCTACCAAGATACCTGATTGTAAGTTTCTAATGAGATGATGTTTGTAAAGGTACACTGAAAAACTGTGGAAGTGCACTTGAAATCTACAAAATAGCTTTTGTATGACCAAAAAGAGAGCAAATCTCCCAGTGTAGCAAATTTCTATCCAAATTGGGGGGTGAGGGGGTATTAAGCAATTCACCAAAAATGAAACCCACTTAAGGACTTGTTTTTAGTCTTCTACTCATTCACCCCCCTCATGCCCCTTTCACCATCACTGGCATTATCACCCTACTGTCACCAAATATTTCAATAACCAACAAACATTTCACCAAAATTTGTTTTTTTTTAATTTCTCCTTGAAAACACACAAACTGAAGAGGAACAGTTGATTCAAATTCATGGCTACTTCATGCAATATTCATATTAGTGACAGTTTCAACATCCTCAACCATCAAACGTCATTACTAGGCCTGCTAGGGAAACAGCAATGTGCCTTTTAAATTTTATTGCTTGCATCCTTTTAACCATAGCCTCAGCAAGATGGTAGAGAACAGTAGTATGAAAAGAAAACAGCAAAGTGGGAAGTGGCTTTAGGATTCTGAACCAGGAGAGGAAACTGGAGTAGAAGCATTACCAGGCTTCACTCAATTTCAACCCTGATTGGTAACACAAAACTGCTTAAGTCTCCAAGCTGGTACCACTGGCTTTTGAACATGCATATCTGCAACAAGTGGAGCAATCTTTTACTATGCTGGGACATTATGAAGCTATGTCAAGATTCAGATCGTTTGAGTTCAGACTCCCAACACCACCCCTAACACAAAAGCCCTCTATGTTAGATCACTCTTTATCCCAAAAGGCACTATTAGCAAATACTGAATATGTAAATGGGCTTAGACTAGGACTGTGCCTCCAAAATGGCCCATGGTGTATAGCAAGCTGCTTCAGAAGGAAATCTTGGAAGACCTCACAAAACCACTTAGCCACACTCACCTCAGGCAGGGGCACACCATTGATGATCAGATCTGGCTGCTGGGGGCCCTGGCTGTTGAAGGAGTGATGGTAGATGTGGTTGGCAGTGGTGTTGCGGGTATTCTGGTTCTCCACATTCAAGAAAGTGCTCTCAGAGCGTCGGCAGCCCAGGGGCAGTGTTTGTTGGTGGTAGTCGAAATAGTTGAGGGACGAAGTAAGGGAGGAGCAACTGACAACATTCATCTTGTCTGTCTCCTCCACGTCCCGAGGTACAAGGCGGATGTCATTCTTACTAATTTTTTTCTTCTTACTTGATTTCTTTTGATGCCCATAGGAGTACTCAGCAATTCTATGTGACAGAAAAGGCAGTAGGAATAGATAACACCTTCCCAGACCACACACTGATGAATAAACATTCAGCACCCCAGAGGGTTGCACCCCATCTCTGCTCCAGCTCCTTATTCTGGTGCATTACATCATCGGGTTTCTCCCTGTGCTTTTTGCATGCAAAAACAAGCTGAGGGCCATGAAGTCTTCATATTAAACATACTAACCTCCCACCAACCCCTCCAAAGAAATTTTCATATTGTAGATTAGTAATTTTTCATTGTGAGTGGCCAGAGAGCAGGGGTGGAGGATGGGGAAAGTTGAGCCTATGGGAGAGAGCATGAAAATGCTCAAATCTGAAGCTTCCCTGGAACCCAAAGGATGTCTTGGGTGAAGTAAAAAGTAAGTGCCAATTTAGCATAAAAGGAAATAGAGGGAAGTAAGAAAAGCCCTAGCCATTGCCTCCAGGAGTTTGTAGTGTGGCAAACACCATGGATTAGATTCATCCGTGATTAAACTGATCACTTTTAGACTAGGGTAGAGGCTCAGACCCAGTCCTCCAACAGTTCCTAGCTGTGCTCATCCACACCCTCCTCCCTGCCTTAGCCCAGCTCCCTTCTACTTTCCACCCTTCCCCCTACTCTCCTAGAGAAATCTGATAGCCAAACCCATTTGAATGAGGGGAAATGCCTTTTTACCTCTTTCCCCTTAGGCTCACTTTCTCCTCTGCCTTTTTGTCTTGCTCCTCGCTAATGGGAGAAACCGAGATGCAATGCAGACACTTGCTGTTTTGTCCTTTTATAAAACAGCCGAGGAGACAAGTGATGGTTAAACAATTACTGCAAAGGAATTTAAAGGTTAGTGCATTCAGCATCCTTCTCCATTCAGGTGTACCTACAAAAGCAGCTGTGCTGCAACTGGAACATAAAAAGCTCAATTTAATTAACACTGACACAGACCTAGGAACGTGCACCAAAGACACCAAGTATTAAGAGACTTGTCAAAAGAAATACATTAAAATGTAGCCAGATTCTCAATGTCATGTATTACTTTGCACATAATGAATTCAGCTTATTGTTTGAGAATTCAATCTCTAAGCAATAATCAGCAAAACAATAAGGTTAATAAATAATACAGGCTGGACTTTACAAGGGAAAGAGTGTGTCTGCATTATCACTCAACAAAGCTAATTGTCAGAATACAAAAAAGGAAGCCCAATTCAAGCAGCAACTGCAGATCATCTCACAAGTCTCATAAATGAATGCATTTCAGGAAGAGGTCCTGCTATAGAAGCAAAGAACTGGGAACCCCTGGTTAATCACATAGACAGACAGGCTCCTGAACTTCAGGATTCTAAGAAGTCTCAGCAGTGGGGGTGTTTGCATATCTACCCATATCTACAAGGGCAAATTATTACTCTATCCCTGGGATCTACCTAGGGCTAAGCAATTTATTTCATCTCACCCTTTTGCTCTCTGCCCAGTCTGACTTGAAATGATGGCAAATTGATGACACGGAGGCTGAAGAACAGATAAAATCCCCCAAATCTCAGGACTAGTGTTACATTTCTTTTCTAATCTGTTTACTGAATCAATGGGAAGTTCTAATCATTTTGTTTACCCATGATTGGTAAGTTTGGCAATGCCCCATCCAATTATTCAGCTGAGGCATTCATTGCACAGCCCATTCTGTATTGACCAATTATTTAATTAAACTGTACTTCATTAATCACAAGCCATAGCAATGAAGAGTGCTTTACAAAATCCACATTTGGGTGAAGTTGGAGAGCACTGAGATTTGCACTTTTCCCCCCAATTCAAATACTCTCTTCCCTGTTTAATGATCTCCCTGGCAAGCTCTCAGAAAGAGCTCTTACTTCTGGTCATATATCACCAAGAAGTGGCAAAGCCTTCAATATCTTTATTTCAGGCTGATTTCTTTTTCATCATGGGAAGGGTCTTATGCATTTACTTTATGCTGAGAAAATGGTTTAAAAAGAGTCCCCTTTATCATTATGTTCATATAAATAAAATTTTATTGACCCTGCATTTTTTCTCCTATAAAAATCGCCATAGCAGTCACAGGTTTCAAAGGTAAGAGCAATATTAATTTCCATTTCTCCCATCTGAAGTGACTTGGTACTGAAGGAAAGAAAAGTCACGGCCATTTCACTGGTAACAGGATTAAAGCATTTATGAGGCATTGCAGCTGCTCTTTTATGGCACCTGATTGATATTCATGTGTGGTTAGCATTTGTCTACTAACTTGTGTAATGCAGAGAATAGTAAAAGGGAAACAATAATTGCATGGCTGTTACATATTCAGGGAGCTCTGATTCACAGAAGTGTGTATTTCAGATGGTGTCAGATACAAATCGGACCTACAAGAACATATTTTGACTGATTAACATGCAAGCACAGATGGCACAAGATACAGTGGATGTGTAGGTGTGTTAAAAGCACACACAAGCACACACACCTTGGCTGGAAATAGCAGCACCATTCATTTTCAGCAAAATAAAGAAAATAAAAATAACTTTTTTCAACTGTTTCGATGAGACACTGCTGGAAAAAATAATATACATTATCCAAAATAGGATTCTAGAAATTCTTAGACTTATTTCTTCTATCAAATTGCAAGAACTCTTCAACAAGAACCTCTAATCAAGACTTAAAAAAAATATTACACTACATGCCATTCAAGTCTCCACATTTCTCTCCTCTGTTCTTTTTCCTCTCCTCTTGTTTCCCCACCCCCACACACATCCTACACAGACTTCAGAGAAACTGTAACACAATAGCCCATAGTGACATCCACTGGTAGGGACCAGATCTTAATGCCACAACACAGTCCCACATTAGAGGAAAGTATAGCCAACTACAGAAGATTGGTATTTTTAAAGAAACATCTGGATGCAAAGTCTTGTCTCTCATTGGGATATTTGGACTTCACACACAAACCAAGCAGATATTTGGAAACATACAGATGTCTGATAGAATTTCACTTTGTATAGCCAGATCTCTGGGGACTAGATACAAAACAAGCCAAGAACACACTGAAGACCACTAATGACCTGCTTCCCCACACACTGCTTTCTCTCTTCCTCCTACTCTGTTTCCCATCATAAGCTCTCACTCCCTAGCTCTCTCTTGAGTATAACCCTACAGCAGGACAAGGCAGTTGTCAGTACTCCATCTCCCTTCAGTTCTTGTCTGCAAAACACTGATCCAGGAAAACCAAGCCCTCAGATAGTGATACATAGAACTTTTGCTAAAAATATGAAAATCTGTCTCTCTTCAGCTCTCCCTCCTCTCCCTCCCTCCCTCCTCTCTCACTCCCTGTTTCTCCCTCCCTCCACCTCATTTTTTTCTACCTTAACTTCATTGGAGACAGCTGTGCAAATTTTAAAATGATAATTGCTTTTCTGCTCATCATCATTATGTGACAGAATCCATTCAAACAGTAAATGATTGTCTTCCAGCAAATTGTCAGATCAAAAGAATTGATAAACTTGGACTGTCACAAACTTTTCACCCTCCACAAAGAAGCACTGGGAGTATGCTGCTTGGATTAAAGA